GAACCAGTAGGCATCTCAACAGATAACTATTCAATTAGTTAGTGAATTTCAACTACCAAGTGCCCCCAGCTTAGATTGAAAAGCTAGAGCCACCACAGTAACTGTGACATCACAGTTTGGCCAATCCTGAATCCTATGAGTTTTCTGATCTTTCTCCCTTCTTCCCTCTCTCCCAGATGTCAAAGGTCAGTGTGATGTCAATAAGCTACAAAGAATAAACAACAATCTGTACATTACTGAGCATGTGATTCATTGTTAATACTATGTTCCAGAAGCAGACAAGATGTTGCCTTTGGGCTATTGGTTTGTCTCTGGAGTTCATCTTGTAGTATTTACTTTGAAATATGCTGATGTTATTTTAATGCTGCATTCTGGCAAGTTTTAAGCTGGTTAAAAGTTAATTTGTTTGTGTAGGACCTTGGCGTTATTAAAGCCTATAACACAGCACATAGTAGCCAACATGGTGAGCTTTGCTTTGCTGGTTGCCAATCCCCTCTTCAAGTCAGTCGTTTTCATTCATTGCACAGTTAAGACAGCAGCCCCACCTAAAGCAATAAGGCAAACCCTGTCTGTCTCTGCAGAACACACCCAGCTTTAGCCATAAACCAGGTGTTTTATTGGTGCAAGTCTTAGCAAAGCTGAAATCAGCAGATTCCATGAAGCTCTTTAGCTCTCTCTGATCTAGCAGTTGGGATTATTGTTAACCGTCAGACGTAATTCTGTTTCTCTAAATTAAAATATAACTTAATTATAGCTATTCTTACTATCGATTTTTATATCCTGTGATTAGTTTTGCAGATGAGAAAGAAATCCCTTAGTTTTGAAATGTACGTGTAATATGAATGGCTTGGTTGAATACTTTTATCTTTATTAGGTTTCTTTACTTAGTATATAATATACTTGTTAGTATGTGCTGTGTAAAGTTGGCTCTTTAGATCTAAATACTATATAATTTTAAATAAATATTAAAATTGAAACTGAAAATCCAGGGAATAACTTAACCTTTGGCCTTCTCTGAGCACTTTTAGCACATAATAGATTATGAATGTGAACTGTTACCTAATTACTGTATAATCAATTTCTCCCAGTTGTAAGAGGCCTATATATTTATAATTACTTTGGCAGAGACATAAGCCCATCCGCCATAGCAAATTCTATTACCATGCTGATGGACTTGCATTTTTCCATAGCAAAATCTATTCGTTCCAAGTTATTAAAGTTTTTGTTATTTTCATTAGTATTTATATTTGCCTTTTAGAATTAGCATAGAATTCTAAATCATGTGTGGAGAGCAAATGGCTGTTTCATACTTTTCCCATGATTTTCTTAAAGTTCAACCATTATATTAATTTCTTTTATTTAATGGACTTCCCAAATAAAAATTTATTTATTGTTTTTAATGTCATTTTTGCAATTTGTAAATATAGTTTGTATTTTTCGAATGGAACTTATATTCTCAGTATGGATGACACAGAATATTACTAACTTTGTAAACACCAGTTGTCTATCATTAAATCATTTTTGAATGTACAAATCATTGAGTCAGAGGAATTCTTCAATTCCTGCCCATACCCCATTTTCTCTGTATACAATCCTTGCCCACTCATCCACTCATTTGCTCATTTATTCATTCAATGAGCACCTACCATGGGTCGGACACTGTGCTAAATACTGAGCCAGCAGAGATGAATAAATGAGCCCACTGGGCTGGGGATGTGGCTCAAGCGGTAGCGCGCTCGCCTGGCATGAGTGCGCCGGGGTTCGATCCTCAGCACCACATACAAACAAAGATGTTGTGTCCACCGAAAACTAAAAAATAAATATTAAAAAAAAAAATTCTCTCTCTCTCTCTCTCTCTCTCTCTCTCTCTAAAAAAAAAAAAAAAAAAAAAAGATGAGCCCACTGCCCTCGAAAAACTTTACTTCATTGATTTAAGAATGGGGAACAGAAATAAACTCTGGGGCAGTTTATAAGAGAAAAGGCAAAAACAGACCGATTTCCTATTTTTTAAGTTGGAGAAAATGTATGAAAACGGCAACACTTTGGTTGGAGAAAGGTGAGTTCATTTCTTTTTCCCAAGAAGAGGATCTGGAGGAGGAACTCTTCCTTCTCTTGCACGAAAGCCCAGACAGGAGATGTTGGATGGATCCTAGTCGGCTCAGTCATAGCAAAAGAACCCTGCTGAAAAAACCCAGGGCCCAGGATGTCTAGTGAGGCTACTGGAGGAAGACAGAGCAGGTAGAAACCCTCTGGAGCCTGTAACTGCCAAAGCCTGCCTAGGAAATGCGAGCAAATGTGATAAAGTCAGACTGACATATGACCACTATGTTTATTATTTTTTTTATTTAATGGACTTACCAAATAAAAATATATTTATTGTTTATAATGCCATTTTTACAATTTGCATTATTGCAATTTGCACTTTTGCAGGAGGAAAATGATGCAGAAAGAACCTAATTGAACCTAACTGAAGGACACACAAGTGTTTGAAGAGTACAGTCAGCTAGATCTTGATCCTGACTAACGTCGTGTCTGGATCCAAATGAGGAACAGGCTTAAATTCGTCAAGATGCAGGGTATGGAGAGGCTACCCCATCAAGAACAGACGACCAGTCCATCATCGTAGGGGTTCTCACATGCAGTACAACTGAGCAGATTCAGGTGACAACACAAGTGCATGATGCAAGGCCCCCTGGGAGGGGAAGGTGGACCTCAGATAAGGGATAATGGCTGGCACACATAAATCCCACGATGTGGATCCAACAAAGGCAGGGCTGTGTCCCTCCCACGTAGTGAGAGTTGCTCCAGTACTGAGGAACCTTCCAGTATAGCTATAAAGTTCCCACCTTCCTTTTCACCAACTCTTTAGCCACCCTCATCCATGGGCTCAGTTTCACATAATTAACAAAAGAGAGAGAGAGAGAAATTTGGCAGTTGCAAATTCTACCTAAGAATCAGGCTCACACTGTCATCCTCTGGTTGCTATTATTAACAATTTGAACTAACTTGAGTATCTACATTTGATACAGACTTTCATCCTGCCCTGACTTTATATGTTTTCCATTTAGTCTGTGTCTTGATTTGGGGACTGCTGGTCTCGAAACATTGACTATGACTTCTGAATGATCCAGGACTGGAAATCACATAGGTCATTTGCTCTTTCAGAGTAGTCATTAGGGTGACAACGCTAATCCCCGCCTGGACCCCAACAAAGAGTATGTGGATTGAGGACCCTTTTTTTTTTTTTTTTTGTAAAAGATAAGTAGCGGGTCAAGAATGGGAGCTTCAGCTTGTGTGATCAAAGCTGTCAAAATCCATATAGCCCCAGAGCAGTGTCGAGTCTCAGGAAGGCTCATGGAAATAACAAACCCTGCCCAAGACTTACGGATGGTTTGCTGTGAGGACTCAGGTGCCTCTTTACTTAACATCAGGAGGCAGCTGATGATCCCAGAGCGTAAGACATAAGATCACTCAGCACATTTTGTGGGTTCAAGCAGTTTAGAGAGAATTAGAATAACAACTGAAAATTGAAAGGTGGTTGTTCCCTTAAAATCCACAAAAGGCCAAGAGCAAGAACTTGCTAATGCATCACCAACATGGAAGAAGCAAAGGGGTCCTCATCATAGTCTGATCCACTTGATAAGTCTATTCCTCAAGACGAGAAATAGTTACAGCCCTGCCACAGCAATACGATTTTATTCAATGGGCACCTACTATGCATCGGGCACAGCACAAAGTGCCGGTGGGTAAATGGAAAAAGTGAGGCAGAATCATCACATTTGCAGAGTTCACCGACTCTCGGGGAGTACAGATACAAGGCAAAATATTCTTTAAAGTGCTATGAAAACTCAGAAAAGGGACTCTAATCTTCCTAGAATGGTCAGAGAAGACTTCCCTTAGGACACTGACTTCAAAAACATGAAAGACTCGTCCATCCAGGAGCTGGCCCCTGGCTCATTCAGTCATCACATGTGCTGAGCATCTCCGACTGTTTTAGACACTGTGGATGCAACACTGAACAAGAGAAGGCCTCACTCCCAAAGTTTATATTCTTTTTTTTTTTAATTTTTTTTTCAAAGTTTATATTCTTGTAGGGCAACGACATTACCAGGAGAGACACGGAACGGTTCCTTCAAGACCATCCAACATCTACTTCCGCCCTCATTTCCTCCCCCACTTGTATTTTCTACGGAGTGCCTTCGTCCAACCCGGGGCAATTCTGTTCTTTTTGTAAGTAAACCTCTCCTAAGGACACTAAGTGCCGGCCATTGCTTTTCACCATAGTGGTCTAACTCCCAAGGGACAAGGTCAAGTTTATGGAAATGCAGAGCTGAAAGTCAATGTCAAGCAGAAGTCAAAGTGGGCGCGCGGTGCCCAGCCTGACGCAAGATGTTCTTACCTTACTTCACCAGGGGAGGTCTTTCCTGCCAGTGCAAGTTCTCTTTTCCAGGAAAAAATATGTGGGAAAATGACAGGAATCTCTTTGAAATCCCAGGCAAAACTTCCAAAACCCAAACTCTAGCAGCAATGAACCCCTTTCACCCAGGACCCTGAGCCTTCGACCCAAGTGTCCCCTCCTCAGTGCCTACTGCCTGGGCCACACTACATACAGCTGTGTGTCGAGCTGCTGGTTGGCTAAGAAAGCCAGGGACTCTGGTGGCCACTTCCTGAAAGAAAGTTCAGACCCTCTGTCTAAAAAGGAAGTGGAGGAATCAGAGTCCCGTGCCAAGGCCAATGTCTCGGCTTGGCACCAGAATCACGAGGCACTCACAGCTTTGTAGGTTCAAACAGCAATTCTTTATTCCAGCTCTCACACCACCTCCACACAGGTCCAGGGGCAAACGCGTTCTCCTGTCTCCCGCACCAACCACCTACTCCACGAGGCTATCTCCAAATCCCATTTTAATCTCACGAGAACTCAACGGGAACAAGCAGCAGGAACACCCTAATCCCAGCAATAATCTTCAACTTCCAACTTCCCTAAAACCCATTATCTTAAACTGGCAACGCCTTAAACTCAAGGAGCCGGTTACTTCCTCAAACCTGATCAGCTCTAAACCCGGATCTGCCTAGGTCCTTGAGCAAGGTCACCTCATTAAAGCATGCATGCAATGTCCCATCAAATGTCCTCTAAGCAGCATGGGGTACGCTTGGCAAGGAAATTTCGATGCGTCATTCCTACTTGGTAATGGCCCTCAGCAGTCCCGGGCTTCACTTCTGCATGCAGGGTCCCTTGGTAAAGGGACACCCATGCCCTGCATTCCTCTGGGCTTTGGGCCCATTTAGGGTTGTTTATTTTTGTTTTCTTATGGTACCAGGGATTGAAACTAGGGGTGCCCTATACCCCCAGCCTTTTTTAGTTTTTTAGTTTGAGACAGGGTCTCCCTAAATTGCCCAGGCCAGCCTCCAAATTCCAATCCTCTAGCCTCAGCTCCTGAGTACCTGGGATTACAGGAACTCACCCATCTCTGACCAGCAGGAACTAGCCTTCAAAGATCTCTGATCAAGGGCTCGGACTGTAGCTCAGTGGTAGAGCACTTGCCTAGCATGAACAAGGCCCTGGGTTCCATCCCCAGCACCACAAAAAAAAAAAAAAATCTCCAATTACTGTAGAAGCCACTGAAATTTCACAACAGAGGCAAGGGAAAGGCAGTTGATTCTGAAAATTCTTATTTCCTGTTTGCCAATATGTCTGCTTTAAATTCCTCAAACTGCTAATTACATCACAAGTCTTATATGCTAGCCTTGGGTCATATTTAGAGCCTTCATTTCTCTTTGAAGTTGTTCAAATAATTTTTTTATAAAAAAAATGTATAATACGATCACTGTGATGTACACCTTCTGTCTTTTCCTTGGGGATGGGTGGTCTGAGGTGATTGACATCCTCAACATCTTTCCACTGGGGAACGTCCAGTAATTGTGTTGGAACCCATTCCATCTCCACCCCCAACTTAAGATCCTGCTCTTAAAGTGTTTGTTTTAGGGACAAGCATCTAACCCAGACCTAAGCCAATCCATACTCGGCATTAAGAGGCACAAGTCAAGATGGGCCAATCCGAGGGAAATCCAGGACTCCTCCTCTGGGTCTGGAGCACGTGGTCCTGGATGTTATCACCCGCCATTTTGTCACCACAAAACTAAGCAGATTTAGAATGGAAAAGAAGCTCTAGAAGGCCAAAAAGAGATATAAAGAGAAATCAGGTCCTTAAAAAACTTTCTGAGCTACCAAATGAAGCTAACGCTGAAACCTGTCTTACTTCTGGACTTTCTAGTTATGCGAACCAACTAATTTTCTTGTTTTTTGAAGCCAGGTTAAAGTGAGTTTTCAATCCTTATAACTGAATGCATACTAAATGCTTCTGGTAGATATTTTTATAAAAATGCATGGCCCCATTTTCACATACATACATAGACACACACACTGCATAAGACAAAGAAAATTGCATAGCAATTTTAATTTAACATTAAGTAATTCAGGGATTGGGATTGTAGATGTTTGGGGGGAAAGTATGAAATTTTCAATGTTTATTTATTTGAAAAATTTTAACAAGTTGGTTTTTAAAAATAACTCTGGAGGGGCTGGGGCTGTAGCTCAGTGGTACAGTGCTTGCCTAGCACATGTGAGGCACTGAGTTTGATCCTCAGCACTACATACAAATAAATAAATAAAATAAATGTACTGTGTCCATGTACAACCAATAAAAAATATTTAAAAAAAAAACCCTTCTGGGTAGCCTTCATTCACATTGGCTCAGAGGGTTAAACACTTAATTATAAATATAAATATATATGTATATATATATATATATATGTGTGTGTGTATATATATATATTTTTTTCTTTTATTTAAAGTGGCTGCCCTGGACTTTATGAATGGAAGAAAAATGTAACTGAGGAAAGTGTACAAAAATTACAAATAGTCACCAATTCTAATAGGGCTGACTAAAGTGAAACTATATCATTGTTACGGTTTAGAAATGAGGTATCCCCTGAAATCTTATGTGTGAGACAACACAGGGATGTCCAGAGGTAAAATAATTAGGTTATGAGAGCTGTGACCTAATCAGTGGATTAATCCATTTGAAGGATTGGAAATCTGAATGGATCACTGGGAAGTAGCTATGGACAGGTAAGGCATGGCTGAAGAAAGGAGGTCACTGGGGACATATTCTTGGGAAAGTATTTTTCCCCAGCTCCTAACACAGTCTCCCACGCCCCCTTCCTCACTGCCAGGAGCTGAGCAGCCTGCCTCTGCCCTTCCATCATGGGTTCTTTCTGCCTTATCTGAGGCCCAGAGCAAGGGAGTCAACCCACCAGGACCGGACGGAACCCCCCCAACCAGGAATCAAAATAATCACCTCCTCTTCTAAGTTGTGCTTGTCAGGTGTTTTAGTTCCAGAGACAAAAATCAGACTAACATAATCAATAGTAAGTGTGTATTACAGCTACTGTGGACATCAGTATATTTCCTTTCAGATAGACATTTTTATCTTCTTAAAAAGGTGACTGGAAAGCTATTGCAGGCCTATCTACTGGATTCTGAGATAGATAATCTGTATCTCAATATAATATTTTTCCCATAAAAGGAAACACTTTCAAATATGACAAAATTCTTATATTAAAAAGGTTTTGTGAATTTTAAATATCTATTCACCGTGCCTATAAATGTGTAAATAAGCTACATTTTTAAAACATACTTACATTGTCTCTTTCATATATAGATAAAGATCTGGAAGGCTACACAGATTGGGTTAGCTTGTGGGGATACTGGAGGAAAAGTGACCTTTGATATTCATCAGGTCTGTTTGTACTTTTATGACTGAATTAATATATTGAATTTATAAATTTGAGGTCAAGTTTTAAAATTTAGAAGAGTAGGAAAAATAAATTAATCTTGGGGTAAAAAATCTGTATCTTGTGATATTTCAGGGATGTGTTAAACTGTGTGATGGGAATGGAGGTATGAAAGATGATTTCCATAAGACAGAAAGCCTCAGTGTAGGCTGAACTCATTAGTCACAGACAGTCTGTTTCTCACATAACGAGAAAGCGTCCTGGGGGCTCCAGGGCTGGTTACTCTGGACACTGAGGGAGGTCACCCAGGCACAAGGTCTTCCTAAGCTGTCCTGCTGCTACTTCATCCCCTGCTTGCTGGCTCTCTGCCCTCATCTGGTTCTTTTCATAAGATAATGGAGACAGTTCCTGGAATCATATCTAGACAGTACCATACCCAGAGAAAGAAAGGGGTCCCTCTCCCTGTGACTTCCTAAGGCTGAGGTGTCTTTCCAGAACTGCTAGGACCCATGTTCCCTCCAGCCTCACTGACCAGAATTGTCACACGCCCTTTCCAGCTAAGCATGGCACGAAGAGGGGAACTGCCGCGTTTGGCTTAGACCAACCCAAACCTGAGAAAGAAACATGTAGGAAGAGGGCAAAGCCATGAGCCTTCCCAAAACTCTCCATTCATGGACATGTTCATAGATGAGACAACTCAATATTGTCAAAATCTCAATTCTCCCTAAATGGAGCTCTAAATTCAATGCAACTGCCATCAAAACCCCAGCAACCCTCCTCTTTATTTTTAAAATAGAAACTGACAAGCTGATTCCAAAATTCATATAAGAAAACAAAGCACCCAGAATACTCAAAATAACTTTGGAAAAGGAAAACAGGATCGGAGAGTAACACTACTGGATTTAAACTGACTCTAAAAAAACTTCTGGTTTTTTTAGAGTCAATGTTTCATTAACACAGCATGGTGTAGGCAGAATGCTCGACCTATAGATCAATGAAACACAATAGAGTCCAGAAAAAGACTCATGCAAATATGGTCAATTGGGTATTGACAAAGGTGCCAAGGTAAAATCAATTGTAAATGGAGTGTTGAGAGCAGTGCTGCACACCTGTGATCCCAGCTACTCAAGGGGCTGAGGCAGGAAGAACACAAGTTCAAGGTTAGCCTGGGGAAATTTTCTTTTTAAAGGGATAAGGATGAAAGTAGCTTCATTGTAGAGACAGTACCCTGGGTATTCAATCCCCAGTACCACCGCCCCCCACCACCACCAAAAAAAAAAAAACCTGAAGATGAATTTCTGACACATCTGACACATTCTACAATACAGATAAACCCTGAAATCATTATACTAAGTAAAAGAAGCCAGAAACAAGGGACATATATTATATGATTTATTTCAAACAAAATATCCAGAATAGGAAAATCTGCAGAGACACAAAAATTACATATTGCCAGGGTTTAGAGAAAAGGGATGAATGGGCAATAACTTCTAAAAGACTTGGGGTTCTTTGGGGAGTCATGAAAATATTCCAATTCTATAGTAGAGATGATCACACAACTTTGCATATACACCAAAATCACTCAGTCGTACAATTTAAAGGGGGCGAATTGTATGGTATGTAATTTTATTTCCATCTTTGTTTTTTTAAAAAGCTGCTTTTAACAACAACTTTTTTTTTTTTTTTTTTGAGAACTAAATTAGCTTGGCTAAGATTGTCTCTCCCTGTTCCTCCAACCTGCTCACACTTGTTTGAAGTCTGGCAGCCTGGAAGGATATTTTATTTTAAGTGTTTCCACTTCCTCTCAGAGTCGGTTGCTGCGAGCAGTGGTGGGTAAATCAGGA